ACAGGTGGTACAGGGAGGAGGGAAGAAGGTGGTGGAGGAGGAGGAGGAGGGGGAGCTGATAGATGGGGGAGAAGGTGGTGGAGGAGGAGGGGGGAGAAGGTGGTGGAGTAGGAGGAGGTAGAGGAGGGCGCCTCTACCTCCTCCTCCTCCATCACATTCTCCCCTTCCTCCTTCCTCAACCACCACATGCACCTCCTCTACCTCCTCATCTCCCCCTCCTACTCCTCCTCCACTGTCCGATGTCCACTGTCCAATGTCCGGGGGGTAAATGTCCGGGGGGTGACCAAAAGAGGTTTGTCTTCATTAACTCCTGATATGATCAGGAGCGTATAATGACAAATATTTGTCATTATACGCTCCTGATATGATGTATATACTTATAATTTCTCTCAAGCAAAATTATTAGCTTGAAAAAAGTCCCACGTTGAATCTGCAGAGTAGGCCTATATGCGACAGTTGGTCAAATTACAAATACGTCTACATAGAAGATGTCAGCTTTTCTAATTCTGTTGAGGCGCAATTAAAGGCGGTCTAATCCTTCATGCCAAAGAAATGAGGTGTTCGAGCGAGAGCCGAGTGATGATGCAGAAAGTATGTACGTGAGTGTGTGAGGGGCTGAACCGTATATTTCAGCAATCGAAATTTATGTTTAGAGAGAACGGGCATAGCTATGATATCCTCTTTAGGCCTGTGATTTCAACCCGTTGTCTGTCTATTCTACTGCACCCACCATACTTCAATAATGACGAGTACTCACTCCCCCAGTCCAAGAAGAATTAGGGGGTTGGAGGTTTTGGAGAATGAGGAAAAATGCACAATGAAACGTAATTGTGAAGAAGAAGAAGAAAACGAAGAAAGAGAGAGAGAGAGAGTGGGGGTGGACGAAAATACGAGGATGTGGTAGAGGACGGCGACGACAACAACAAACTAAATCTACAGCAACAAATCGAAAATACCATTGATGCGCACACCACCGGGAGGACATGTGCGTGCGTCTGTGTGTGCGTGCGTGCGTGCGTACACGCAGACGCACGTACGCATGCATGTACACACAGACGCACGCACGCACGCACGCACGTACACACAGACGCATGCTCGCACGCACTCGCGTACACACAGACGCACGCACGCACGCACGTACACACAGACGCATGCACGCACGCACATACACACAGACGCACCCACGCACGCACGCACGCACGCACGCACGTATACAGACGCACGCACGCACGCACGTACACAGACGCACACACGCACGTACACACAGACGCACGTACACAGACGCAAACACGCACGCACGTACACACAGACGCAAGCAGCACCACCCATTGAAAGTTGAGAGAGAATATCCCCCAAAAAGCTGAGCACATTGCACAACCTCTGGCTGCACTCTTTAATACCTGTATTACAAGAAGCTATTTTCCCACGGAACTAAAAAAAAAAAAAGCGGAAATCACGCCAATCTTCAAAAAAGAGGACAAACTGGACAAGTGAAATTACCTACCAATAAGCGGCCTGCCGTGCTTTTCCAAACTTTTCGAGGGACTTCTTGGAGACCAAGTAGGATCGCACTTCAACGACATTTTCTCGCCGCGTATTTCTCGAGAACCGTCACCAGCGAGTTAAAAGTCGGAGGTACCCTGAGCATCTGGAAAATGCCAACCAAAGGAGTACCGCAAGGGTCAGTCCTCGGACCCACTCTATTCAACATATTTATAAACGACATCTTCATAATGCACTCACACCTGGATATCGCCAACTACGCAGACGACAACACGCTTTGCCCACACAACAATAACCTAGACACACTCATTACAGAACTAACACATGGCTATTCCACTCTAACCAAGTGGTTTAACGAAAACCGCATGCAAGCCAACCCTAAAAAATTTCAATGCATAATCCTATCACCCACCTCCACTCTTGAAGACATTGACCTAAACATCGACGACTTTAAAATAACAAACAGATCTGATGTCACACTACTTGGCGTGGATATCAACAGCCGCCTAACTTTCGACAAGCACATTAGGAACATCTGCATCAGGGCGTCACGCCAGCTAAATGCCCTAAAACGTTTTGGAAAATACTTATAGATTACAAATCTAGACTTCAAATATACAAATCATACTGCCTAAGCAACTTCAACTACTGTCCCGCCGTCTGTCACCACACAGGAAAACATTAACAAACTAGAACAAATACAAAGAAGAGCACTTAGCTTTGTTGTTGGTCGAGGCAGCCACACACACGAAGATCTTCTAGCCCACACCAATCTTCCTAGCCTAGGACTAGGGCGAGTCAAGGCCATCGCCACAGAAGTATACAAGGCCATGCATACACGATGAAAGCCCAACCTATATATAAAGAGCCTTTTCAAACATTCATGCACCCCCTACAACCTCCGAAGTAAAAACTCTCTTGCGCTTCGCGACTATAATTCAATAACTTATGGCAAGAAATCCTTTCGGTACCACGGCACCTGGCTATTGAACAACCCCCCCCCCCCCCAACATCCGTCAGGCTACAGACCTCACAACCTTCAAGGCGCTTCTAAGATCGTGGTCAGGTCCATCCTGTGTATGTGCGATGCGCCGCTGATGCCCCCCACTAATTAACCCACACACACGCGGAACAACCTGCATGGACTGATATGAATCATCAACTCTAATTTGATCACGACTCATAATTTTAGTATCCTTGCGTGATTATTGTTTTCTTGTTTTAGTACCTGCGTTTTCTTTACGAATACGTCAGTGTCCCTCATAAGTTGATATGATTTTTTTATGTCCAATGCTCCATTGTACAATGTTATACCATAGTGACCGCGATTGACTGCTTGTGATATGCCTATGAAGGCTTTGACTGGGGGGGGGGCAAATGCCCCCATGCCCCCTCCTTGGTGCCGCAACTGAGCATCTCGCCTCTCGGCCAATCTTACGCACTTAAAAAATACAGGGGCTTGTCCGAAAGATATGCGCATGGTAGTGTAATGGCCCTAGGGGTGGCCGACTACGGTTCGACAGACGTTGTTTCGTAACGCGTGTCCTAGTTGTGGGATTCAGTGTTCGCTCCCGCCGGTATAACAGGCAGGACGGTGATGTCGCGTAGCAGATAACAGGTAGCACCAATCGAACAGAACACAGTGAGATTCGGTTAACTGTACGGTTATAGCTTTATTAATTTGTTTCCTACTAGTTCACAAATAATTCCTCTGCGCTCGTATGTGCCGCAGATCCTATCACCACTAGATTAATATTGACGAAGTAACACGTCGCCGGTTTCGTCTTCCTCTCTCACGTTCGTCCTCTCCTCGCGTAGACCTAGGCAGTCTCCAAGGTGTCTCCCTCTCCTTCACGCCTGGCTCTACCTAACCGGAATCCCGTTCTTCTCCGTCCTCGTTTTATTCCCCTCTCCCGTTCGTCTCCGGTTTTCACCTACCTGAAAACCTGAGCCTCTAGCCCCTCTCTCGACAACGCTTCTGCTCCCTCTCTCTACTTCTTCCTCCGTCTCCTTCTTCCTCCTCCTTCTCCTTCCTCCTCTTCCTTTTTCGTCCTCCTACCTGTACCTGAAAAACAACTCTCTCTTCCTCTTTCTCTTCGCCCTCTTCTTCTTCTTCTTCTTCTTCTTCTTCTTCTTCCTACCTAGACCTGAAAAATAACGCTCTCTTCCTCTTTCTCTTCGTCCTCTTCTTCTTCTTCTTCTTATTCCTACCTAGACCTGAAAAGTAGCACTCTCTTCCTATTTCTATTCGTCCTCTGCTTCCTCTTCTTCTTCTTCCTACCTAGACCTGAAAAATAACACTCTCCCGCTCTGCGATTCGGCGCGCCTTATATAGACTCTATATACTTAGCCGGCCCGCAGATTTCGTTCGCTGGTGCAATCACTGTGGTGCAATCGTTTCCCCCGATGACGCAACCCGTGTCTGGTACCGTACGATGGTTACATCATCTTATGCAACTCGTTTCTGAGTAAATATTCCTCTCTTCGACAACTTAGACTATTAATTCTATTCAAATCCCCTCATATATTATGCTGACTAATAATACCTAACCGCGCAGATTATTATATCCTATTTATCTCGTTATCGCTTAAACACTCCTTGTTTTTCCCCCGACAGGCAGCAGCAGCAGCAGTGATAGCATGATCCAAGATGGTTGCGCCCATGGACGTGCGTGTTGACATATATTTTTGTGCGGTCCATATCTTATCCTCTCTTTAGTCAATATATATAGTTATTCCCTCTATACTGTGAGTTCAATCTATCCATCCTGATCTAGCCTACTGCTCCTGTGAGTCACACACCCCCGAAATCTCCACAGTATCCGATCTCAGAATTTAATTTCAGCCGCAGCATCCCAACGAAATAAAAAATAAGTTCTGGTAACCCCAGTATATAACCCAGTATATATAACCCCAAAAATAAATAAAATAAATAATGAAACGATCGAAGATACAGTTCACAGAAACAATTACAAATTGCAAAAACACAGTCTCCCACATTTCTTCAGCTTAATCCTATCTTACATGTAATCATAGATATATATATAAACGTTTGACATACAAGATTTATATATCTATATGATTTAGTTATTGAAAATGTTGCCCCCCCCCCGGAATTTGCTTAGACTACGACCCTGTACTTTCCAGATGCAGATGCTGAATAGGGTGAATACTATAACAACCAATCAGGAGTGAACATTATTCACTCATGAACCAGAATTTATACAGAATTCATACATAATTCATACAGAACAACCAAATTATACAGCTAGAGAGTGGCAAGCGCTGAATCAGCATGCTGTTACACTAGTGTTTGAACCTTCGAAGTTTACCGCCTTGCTACCACAGCGCGCGCGAATGAAAAATGACGTCACCGGATGTTTGACCGGATCCCAAGGTGGTGAAAGTTTGTTGACATTAGTTTCCACGTGCGAAGATGAAAGCCGTTTCAATTTTAGTTTGGAGGCGTTATCATTATTTGTGCTAATTAATTAGAATATTGTATTTATCATTCATAGTTATCATGAGGCAATCTAGAGCTATAAACAAACGCATACAGGTGCAAAAGCCTGCAATTTTGACATCACTTGGTACAGCTCAACGAGTAAGATTTTCTGTTCGAGACAGAAAGCCGATAACAACACCGATGGCGATGGCGATGAGTTGTGAGGGCACGACAGGTAATTTGGTCACACGGTGTGCTTACTAGGTTAACACGTCCAAATATAATGTATTCATATAATGTGTGTACAAATATATGCACTTGGTCAAGTTGATTATGCCAGGAGTACGGATCGCTAATCAGAACTGTCAAGTAATTAAACTAATTTGAAAACGCTTGGAAATCATTGCTGTCTGAGCAATTAAATCTGTCTGAGGAAAATACTTTTATGCACAAGATGGTTGCATAGAACACTAGCTACTTTGATTAGATACATTGATGGAGTTCGGGGAAAAACAGCAATAAAAATAATGATTGAACACTGCAATTATCATCATTGTGTGTGCAGTAATGCTCATAGCTATAGGGTCTATGTCCCTCAGGGTACTGCTGGAACGTACCCTGGGTACGGTCCGGTATACCGGAACGTACCCTGGTCACTATTTGATATGGTTAGGGTTAGGGTTCGGGTTAGGTAGTAGGCGTAGGCGACTCCCTAGACTCGTTAGTGGAGTAGGCGAGGTACGGTCCGGCATATTAGATAGTACCAGGGTACGTTCCGGCAGTACCCCGGGGGACATAGACCCTCTCAGCTGCAGTAATAGTACGTGTTTGTTTAAATAAGTGTTGCATGAGAATGGGGACAGTTAAAAATGTTCCAAGTGCTCAAGCGTATATAAATGCAGATGCAGATCAATATACAGATGTAGATGCATATATGTAGACTGATACAGGTGCAGAGAATGAAGTGCATGTTCGAACCTATGCGCACACTCAACGGACACACGGTCAGCCAACAACAGATAAAAGTCAACAAGGGCAATTATACCATAATAATTGCGGATCACTTTAGGACAACAGTGCCACAAACAACAAGCTAACTTTAACTATAACAACAGTCAGAAAAAAGCAATAGCAGCTGAAAATACATATATATATAAAGCAATTTCGCAATGCACATACTTGTAAATGTAAATATATACGCTTACACATGATATACCTGTATTACGCATCTAAAATGTAAATAAAGGGAATTTTGCTTTACCAATTCTTACCAATCCTGTCTATCAGTGAAAAACATGAGAAAATTGTAATAGATTGAAATTAATATCCTTACTCATCAATCTTTTATTTCAGGTCAACCGCCATATTTAGCTGCAAGGAAAAGTCCACTTCCCCAGTCTACTGTGAAAATTCTAGAAAGTGAAGAAGAAGCTGGGATTAAAAATATATCTCAAACAAGTGATATTGACATAGTGCCTGAAACAGAGGCAAATTATGTCAAATCAATGAAAGAGTTGATGGAGGAGGCTCAATTCCTGGCAGCTGCATTGGACCAGAGTGGTGTGTGAGTCTATCAATTGTCACTACTTCTATACGAGATAGAATCTAAATTGACATATATGCAGTTACTTCTGTCAGTCATTCCACATATCTATTGTGTATATGCTGATATTAGCCCAGAATTATGGAAGATGGAATAAGTTGCTTATGTTAGATGTGTGGACTATGTGATAACGTATTCGGAAACCATAAGCTATTTAAAGGTACGTACGTTATATATACATGCACAGTTTTATATTCTTTCCTTATAAAACATAATTACTTTGTAGTGGTGTTACCACTGGATTCTACACCTATTTCCTGTACATCAACACATGGGACAGTCCTGACTAGTGATGAGGCAAGGGTAGCTGATAGCATTCACACATGTGTAAAACCACATGAGCAGGCACTTGAAATCTGCTTTGAAAAGAAAGAGATTTCCCATGAACCCAGCACACAAGACAAATTTTACTTTTCTTCAGAGGAAGAACTTTGCATCCTGGAAGGTGATGAAAGTTTATTATTTTTGCTGTTGTGATCTGTTCGATATTGTGAATAAATTATTATTATTATATAACGTATTATATCATATGCACATCAACTAGTGCGTGTTTAGCATGGGTGCAACAAGTGCAAGTGATTGGGCAGGGAGGATGTAAAGGATTAGCTGAAATGTTCACCTATTCCATGGAAAGCGAAGGAAACATATCCACCCCTTCTTGCCTCATAAATCAGACCTTGTGGTAGTGGGTGTTGTACAGTTTAGAATCAAAATTGATCAAATTTTAACAACACACATTTATATACATTTCAAAAAGCCGAGGAAAATTCGGAAGAAAGAGAAAAACTTGAGGTCATTGGATGCAGGAAGCATTATTGTGGAAGGAAGAAAGTGAACACAGAAAAATTAACTGAAAGGTATGGATGAGCAATCTTTCAACAACTACAATTCAGAGTTATACAAGTATTCACAGGGTTATTCCTAAAATGTAGTACTGCATCATTACCATTGTAGCGTGAGAGTGTCAACCATTTATAATAATACAACAGATATTACAACTTGGGTGCTTTTTCAGTGCTGCTCATGATATCGTTGATACAGAGCATATTTCATTAGCTAGGAAGCAAATTCATTACTTCTGCACACTGCCTGACACAGTCTCCCAGCTGCCTAGTTCCTTGCAGACACTTCTGAAGGAAATTGGGTTATATGGATGGCAAAGAGGAAAACAAGTTGGAAACAATTTGGTTGGTATATAGAAATGGTATTGTGCAGCATGTATTTGTATTTATCAACAATTATTACTTGTAACATGAGAGTTTCTATATTATATCCAGTTGGTTCAACTTTTATTAAGCACTAAATGACACCAGTAGGTTTGATAGTAATACTCTAGATCTGGTTGTGTGTTTGATTTGTTATCATATAGTGTATTGAAATTTTGCACGTTTCTGAGTAAAGAGTAATGTGAGATATTTGCATGAGAGAGGAGCTATAATAAGAATAATACAATATATAAATCAATTGTATAATTTGTATTCCTTTAGTGCAACAGTGCAATGCTTACAATAGAGGTTTAGGGTTGTAAACTAAAAAAAACATTTTAATTATAATGTATCTAGTGATCCCATCAATGGGAATGACACTATCAAGAGCTAATAAACCCATAGTATACACCTAGTATAATACCTAGGTATTATTAGCTCTTAGCGCTATGCTATAGATAGCTGATGCTCAGTGTCTTAATCTTTACTTTAATCTATTGTCCTGTACGTGTAACTGTTATCACTTTTCGCTCCCTGAGTGGTGTGTTGAATCGTTCATCGATTTGTTTAAAGGATTTACTGACTAAAGTAGAAAACCAAAAGCTGAACAGTTCTTCTACTACAAACGTGGAGGGAGAACCGATCGCTGTTCCTATGCACCTGTGGTGGGCCCCAGCACCTCCCAAACTCTGTCTGCTACCATCATATGTCGAGGTGAGTCTCAATAAAACATGGTTATGCTGTTTAAGGATACTCTCCACGTTGTGCACGGGTATTGCTCTAGTGAAGATTAAACGTTTATTGGCGAATGAATCGAATCAATCACTTGTTTTATTTATAGAGGATCGAGATATATCTCTATGCTCAAGCCAAAAACTTTCATGAAATTTCCAGCACCTAATTATGTTACCACACAAATTTTGAATTTTTATGTAAAAATGGTATTTTGGATATTTCTCAACTACCAGAAAGAGTGAGGATACAGAATTTTTGCCACATGTTAAGCACAATATGGACCAAAATAGCGCGTCAGGATTTTTCTTTAATTTTCTTGTTTACTGAGAAACCTCGAAAAAACTGCTTGAAAATCAAGTTGTGTGTTAAAATAGAAAATTTTAGCGAATAAAGAGGCATAACTAATAAAGTACGGCACTTAATAACAATCCCTGACGTGCTTTTTTACCACAATATGTTACCATTAAAACGAGTGTAAAATTAAATTAATCCGAGTTGTAATCACAGAGAAATAT